ATGTACATGTCTTGGTTAAAGAAAATTGGAAGAAAAGTGGATGAAATGTACCATATTTACAGCACAATGGTTCAACCATAAAATGACTATGGTTGTTCAACTTATTAGCATTTATCTAATGTTCAGGAAACACTAAATTTGATCCCTTTGAAGTCGTTAAAAATCGCAATCTGCAGGTGCAAAATGTATGTTTGCGGTTATAATGGAGTGATCAAGAAGGTTATATCGGAATCAAGAAGCTTGCTCTTAGTATTCAAACAATATTATTGAGGCCTTTAGGTCCCTTAATTAACGTAACAGGTGAGAAAATAGAAAATTATTTGTTTTATAGTAGAAACTAAATCTGTAGTACACTGATGGCCTTAGGCAAATGTAGAAAACTTGGGAGTACCTAATTAAAAATAGACAATCAGAATGCAGATTTTGTGTGATAATTCTAAAATACAAAAAAAATGGACAAACTTGCTGAGAATTAAGAGTTTTTGAAATCATTTTTGAACCTATCAGTGCTAATTATTGACAAATAAGGCTGAAGATTATAAGTTCTTAATTCTGATAACACTTGGCTGTCAGTCCCACACTTTCAAGATTTTAACTATTACTCATGGTACACTTAATCGTAATATTCCTTACCTTAGCACTCTTAAACTCAACATACTAACCTCAACAGTTCAAGCGACAAGAAAACTATACTCTAATCCTTTTGAAATATAAAGAAAGTCATAAGTTATAGCAATAAGCTATTGTTGACAGTATTCTAAAGTCTCGCATCAGCTGTTTTTATTTTGATTTATCTCTTCGAATCGTCAACATAATACAGTTTTGCATTAAGCAGTATTTCTTGCACACTTTGTTTTTAATCTTATTGTTATAATTCTGGGAATGGGTTTTGAGCTTCAGTTAACTGAATATAATAAGACAATAACTGGCTGACATTTCAGAATTCGTCGATTTCTAAATTTTCACTTCCAACTCCATAGTGAGGTATTCTGGGTTATTGTTGTGAGAAGAGACGTTCAAAAGACACCAAGCCCGTGAACAGGAAATAACAGAGTCGGAATTTTATTGCTGCCGGGAGTTACGAGAGACAGTTACTTGGCATAGTGTGACGAGCAAATAACCCGAAAGTAGTACTTTTCGAGGGGAAACTTTTTTGCAAGACGGTAAAAGGAATAGCCGCTATTTTCCCAGACTAGGTTTTAATCCGTTGAACAGGCCTTCTTTAGCTCTCTTCACAATGCATACAATTTTTTACATGACAAATTATTTAAGATATATGTTCCCATTTTATTACTCATTGAAATACAGCGCCATATGAGTTTCGTGTCGGTGATTACGCTTCGTTTTATTGATAGAAGAAACCAGATTAGTGGAGAACAGATAATTATTTTGATCGTGGATAAGAACTGTTGCATCGCAATGTTACCTTTTTAAACACACCCAAATTTCTCAACATTCATAATATAATGGTAATGGGAAATGTAGTGCTAAATGGGCAAGTGAATGAATGCGTGAGCTATAATTTTTCGACATTACTAAGATGTTTGCAGCCAACTTTTAAACAATCAACCTAAGTTCTTACATCGGCTTCCCTTGGAATTGGCTTCTATAGGAATGTCGATTCGATCCACTAACCAGCCGACGAAGACCAACTCTCAGTCAGTATTTTGAGATGGTCCATAAATATCGTATACTTTACTAGCTTAATTTATTATCTCATAGCACTTACCTAATTCCACAAATTAACTCTCATGAATTGTTGAACTCATGATGCAGCAACCATTCACAAGAAGCCTGTCATTTATAACATCTGAAATTTTTGCTCCACACATAAGGTTAATCATGGGGGAAGGATGATCTGGCAGTTGAAATTAAGTACCCAAGCCAGAGGGTCAACTTATGGAGCCTGCTACCAAGATAGGAGCTTCGTAATATGAGTTCAGAGCTGTTTGTTGCAGGTTCAGATTTATTCATTGGGGAGATCAGGCCAGTGGTCTTCGTTAGTCCTTTACCAGTAAACTTAGTGATTGCCTAATCCTCTCTTGAACACGTCATTTGAAAGTGCGGAGTCTACTTCTTCGGTGAACAGGTACCGGTAGTCGATGACTCGGTGGGAAAATCTGTACGACAATGCTACTGTATTTATTCTCCACTTTGAACTCATCTGATGTCCTGTGAAATACCGTGATTTATCAGGAAGTAACGGAAGGGATAAATCAAATCCAAGATCATTTCCTAGTGTTCTGTATACCAAAATCAGGTCACTTCAAAATTTGATGTTAGACGGGTAACATCTTTTAGTTTCTGGAACCACCCTCTGAATGACAAACCTAAGAATATTGGAATCGCGTGGTTAGTTGCTCTCTGTACTCTTTAAATAGAGGCTTTCAGCCTGGATGCAGTTTTAACTTTTGAACTGCATCAAGGTTACGTAAAGTTTAGTAAACATACACGTATTCAAATTGGTAAACTTCTATCCTGAAGCCTATAGGGTTTTTAGTTGTTTAGCGGCATTCGCAAAGCAGTAGGACTCATTCTCAAGATCGTCATTCTTTGTTACTACAAGATGATTGTTCTACAGGACTAGAGGCACTGACACTTCCTCAACGTTATAACTATTTGTCTTTGTATCACCAATATGCATGTAAACGCACCTAGCAGCGTTCACAGGCACTAATCACGCTTTAGACTGGCTAACCAGAGCGTCTAGATCTAGTGCCGATGCATCTTCATACTACGTTCTTTCTCGCCAGATTTCGACACTGCTATAACACTGCGTAGGTCACCTGGCATTACTTGACAGTTTAGTTACGTATGGGTTAAGAAGTAAGCGGCTTTGAACAAAGCCTTTTTGTTATGTACGTCTGTTTTAAATATATTGTTTTGTTTTGAGTAACGAAAATATATCACGTGTGTTTGACTAGCTCCACTTGCTCTTGGCAATTTGTGAAATAAATCAATTGAGAGAAAGATGAAGTTATCGTTCTTACTTCACCACTTAACGGGGAAAAAAGCAGACCGAGAGACCTGTAATATGAAACATCATATTCAGTCCTACTGTTATCGACAAAGAAATCCTGAAACAAAGTTATGAATATAAAAATTTGCTTCCAAGTTTGAAACTAATTATTTGAGGTGTCAAATGAGAAGCGCACTAGCTCTTTATTAGAATTATCAATTGGATCTAAATCACGTGGTTGACTGTATTATGCACCAGGATCAGTAATTGTACATCATGCTGTCTTGATATAACCAATGATTCTACAGTCAAAGATTTTGGAATTGTGAAACGGATGTCATCTCACAAATTCTAATATACCGCCCGAAAAAATGTCTAACAGGTCACCACTTGTTCTTGAATAATGCCTCTGAATCTCTTGTTAAGTTGCTTTTGGTTATTCCAAGAAGGCCACAATCAAGACCGAATTATCAGTTTACATGGCTGTGAGAATACAGATGACCACAGCAGCCAACCAAAAGTATATTCTCTGACCCACAAACTACAAAAGCAGCTCTGAAACATGGATTTTGTTAGTTGTATTAGCTCTCGTTTCCAATTCGGTATATTGATTTCAGCGACTAGCCTAAAACAAAATTAAATATGAAGTCAAAATCTTTGATATATGTTGTCACATCGGATTCTCGATCGATTCATATCGAATTCAAACACCATATCATCCGAATTAACGACCAATCATCCAATAAATGACTCGATTGCAACATCAGACTATGTAATGATATGGAATACAATGTATGATGTTAAACGTCCAGCTTCTATCGGAAATGTACTCTATTAGTTATGAAAAAATCAGTGGCTGAAGGCAAGAGACCATAAACGCATATGCTATAATTGTATAATTTTGAATAAAACACAATATAATGTACATGAAAACAATCAATTCATAAAAACATCACAACTAATAAACAGGAAATCCTGTTTTCAAGAATCTATCTGTTCTTAACGGCTAAAATCCGTTACGAATTAATCTGTAGTGACCTGCTTTTTTCGACAAGAACGCGATTGGTATAATAGAAACAATTATTATTATAACCAATTGTGCCAGTGATTGTTTAATCGTACCCGTTGTTGTTTAACTGTATCAAAGTCACTTTTCGTTCGGTCGTCCGTCTTGTTTGGTTCGAGCTTTCTTACGCTCTGCCCTTGTTGCCTGCAATCTTTGGCACGTCTCGGTATTCTTTCGATAAAACGAGATCGCCAATAAATATACTTTATCCGGACTAATTACAGTCTTCTGGTTCGCGAGTTATCGAGGGAACCAAGTAGTTTTTGGGCGCGTAATCTCATTGTAGTGGTGATCATAGACCATTAAGACTCGACGCCATCTTCAAATCCATCAATCCACAATATCATGCAACACATACACACGATCATTTATCCCTCTACTTCGACAACCAATGTTCGATAGTGTATGAGTGGGTCGGAAAAAACAAGGATGGTCAAATAAAATAGTGGCATCAGTTCCTCAACATGGAAACTTTAGGAGCCATGAACGTCTAGAGAACATGAATGAGTTTTCTCAACTGATTTCACACTGAGGCTAATAGTTTGACTACCAATGTCTTACTATGTTTCAAAAAATTTTAAAGATGTGTTCACTGTTAAAAACACATATCTTAACTGTTTTGAAATAGCTATAAAAACAACAAAACATTTGCATAGTAACAGTCTTTGTAGAATAAACAGATTTCTGTATATCATAGAGTTGATATCATGAGCCAACTGAAGCCAGACCACCATCGAAAACCTGGAAGCACTGGAAAGCCGTTTCTTCCTATTATGGGACTCCTCAGTAGTGCGCATCCACGATCCCACACTCGCGAGATTAGAACCCTGGACCTAACAGATTGCTGTATATGTACAAGAACTGCCCAGGAAATAAAATATCAAAGTTATCTTGTGAATTTTATTTATTTCTGATATCAAATAAAAGTTTTATACAGTTAAACAATGTAATAAATGGTAAATATCTATATTACTTCCTAGTACCTTTGTATTATTGTTCAGAAACTAACATTTAGAGTTCAACTTATATCTGGCTGTTTGAGTTGAAGTACATCCAAGAAATGAATTAAGTCTAGGTAGTCCATTAGGTCCGAACACATGTAATGACTCCGATGGTCTTTCTGAATTAGACAGGTTTATGATATTCAATGCATCGATCAACCAACCTTCTGTAGTATCAGACGTAGGAGGAATAGGACCATCATCCCAGATTAGATCAAAATCGCCAACACGTTTCTCAAAACCTGTCAAACGACCCTCCAAGTCTACAACGTCTAGCATATCATCCAAAAGATTAGTCTGGAAAGTAGTTTTTATATAAAAAATTGCAACAATCAGGAGAACTGTTTTATCATATGCAAATAAAATGGTATCAAACTTCAACAAACTATTTTCAGTTATTTGTGCTGTAAATAAGAAGAAATGTTGCACAACTGTAAGTCGTGAGACCAGAAAGCCATATGTCGGGAATCACCGGACCAGTTTTACGTGATACACAGAGTGAAGTGTCATATAATTTCAATGAAAAAACATTTGGAGTGGTAATATTGTTGATTATTACTGTTAAGTTTGTCTTACATTGTTCCTAATCGCTCTCCTTCCACTTCTTTGTTTATTGTTTTATACTACTTATTCATATTCAGTAAGCAGTTGTATACTTGACAATTTTCACATTTACATTGTAACGCAAGTTGTACTGTAACATTCGGAAACGTTCCCATATATTTATAATGTTTATTGTACTTATCATTGTATTTGTCATTGTAATTACTGTACTTTAATTACTATAACGGTTATCCACAGTTGCGGATTTGTTTAAACACAACAGTTTCCATATTGTTTGCTCTTGGTTCGAGTTTCGATTGTTCATAAACTGTTGTCGAATTTCGACACAGCCATCGGCTGTCTTTGTACTATCGAAGCCTTTACTATTTCATTCTTGAAAGATGCGTTAAACGCCTAGACACCTCACAAGTTGAGGTTTGTAATTAAACTTTGTGTTTATGTAATAATAGAACCGCTTATGTAGACAAATCGTGTTTTGGAACTTAGATTTTGCGCGTATCTCAATCGGGTCATTTGGACGCTTCGATAGACTTAACAATTGCAAATAAACAGTAACTCAGTGGCCGAGTGGATAACGTGATGGCGTTTGAAGCGAAAGGTACTGGGTTCGAGTAGCAGAGTGAACATTAACTCTGAGATGCAGGTACATCCACCTGACGAGTCCTAAATAGAACGAAACGCGCGTCAAACTGGATTCCACTGCTAGCCACTATCCATATTTTCTTAAACAGTAACTGAGTTCAAATTTTCTCTGATAAACATGCGAAAAACCGTTAGTGTGAATTGGATTGAAGAAGCTCCGAAATCGTGAATCTTAGGAACTCTAAGAACCTCAAGATATCTCTAAAGGCATGACATTCAGATCAGTTAGTGATCAGCGGAGATACTAACATTAAATCTACTAACACATGCGGAGGAGTTCAATTGATCATAGAATCAGAGATCAACGGAAGTATATGATCATTGAAGAGCGGATGCAGTAAACAAAAAACAAACGGTCATCAATCACAAATAAGGCAGTTAGATAGAACTGGTATGAAGCTTGTAGAATAACACCAACCAAAGCATCGATCTAGGACTGAAATTTCCTCCATCATTTCATAAAGACGTATGCTTGCTCAGAAGACCAGCCATAGATGTTTACTAAATAGTCACAAATGAAAACAAAAGCAGCCTAATCTGCTGAACTTAAACACATTCTTATGCTAATGTTTTGCTAATCAAACTATGATTCTATGCACAAAGCGGACATAATGAAGCAGTAGAAAAGTTGTGAAACACTATATTTCGACACCCTAATAGATGTTAAAAAGGAAGCTTTTATTTGGAACAAAACTGCTTCCACTAGTATTTCGAAAGTAATTAAAATTTTGATTCTATCAGGTATAGACCCTAGTTGTGAATTATTAGCAAAGATGGATAAAGCCAAGCGGTGGAATTCAGAACGCACGTTTCGTCCTATTTGGGACTCATCAGCTGGATGAACCTGGTGTAAAAGAACAACGTGATAACTGTATTGTGATGTGCTACCAGTAATGTTTCTAAATAAATATCCACAATTAAATAAAAAAGCATAAGACCAAAAGAAAACATCAGGGTAACAAAATAAACAGGCATTTGATATTTTAACCTTTAGATCAATTGGGATTGTCCCCAATTATCTGTATATTACGCTACGTGATATTTGGAACTGTATTCATTCAGGCAAACTGATATCGGTTAAGTGCTCTGGCGCGAGACCGGTAGGTCCAGGGTTCGAACCTCGTGAGACGGGATCGCGGATGCGCGCTGATGAGGAGTCCCATAATAGGACGAAACGGCCGTCCAGTGCTTCCAGGTTTCCTATGGTAGTCTAGCTTCAATCGACTCATGATTTCAACTATGAAAAAACTGATATCAGTCAAAGAACTGTGAAAACCTAGGGGAAAGGCGCTGAACACATAATTTATCACAATTGATTGATCACTGGGTGGTGATCAATGTCATGCGTGTCAAGTCCTTCTAAATGCTGATTGAGTGCTATTGATCAAGTTACAATGTGGCCACTAGTCTAGGTGGCTCGACACTGCGTGCACTATGTTGACCACCTCCAAACACCGTATTATCTCAATACAATTTATCCTAATTTGGAAATTCTCAGTAGAGCACACCTATGTTACTACTTGACGTTGATTTCAGGGTCAAACTTTATTATGAATATGATCGACAATTAGGAAATTATAGGATTACTATTTTGATTCATGGGTTATGTTAAACCGGACTACACTATGTCTATACATGATCCTATAATTGTAGCATTTGTAAAAGTATTTGCATAACAGACTTGATAACACAAATTCACATTTGTTATTGACCTTCAAAAAATCACTTTATTGACACCTTCAGTGAGTATTTATCAATTTACTTGTTTCTTTAGAGCCAAGCAAATCAGCCTTATAATGTGAATTCTATCAAACAAGGTTCAAAAACAATCATATATGCATAGTTGAAATCATGAGACAACCATGGGAAACATGGAAGCACTGGAAGGCCGTTTCGTCCTATGGTGGGAATCCTCAGCAGTGCGCGTCCACGATCCTGCACTCGCAAGATTCAAACCGAGGACCTCCTAGTCTTGCGCTAGAGCACTTAACCGATAGACCACTGAGCCGGCATCCAACGGTGTTAATGTTTAGCTTCAACCGATCTACGATGTTTGAGCAATCGTTCACCAATTGTCTTCAGTGAGTTGATATCTCTAAACAATGAGAATACTCTGATTCACTTGTTTCGGAGAATAAGTGCTAATTGTAATTTTATTATAATAGGGAGGTTCTGAAGCAAATCAAATGGTTGATTTGTGTATTAAGAACTTTTTTCTCATCAAAACAGTTTTGAATGTTGTTTGGACAAAACGAAGTAGGATTGACACTTCATAAATGCTAGACAAAAAAAATCAAACTTTAAACTTCTAATTGATATTGTCTTAAGTCACAAGCATTTTAAACAAAGATGGATAGTGACTAGCAGTGGAATCCAGTTTGACGCGCGTTTCGTCCTATTCGGGACTCGTCAGCTGGATGCACCTGCATCCCACAGTTGGTGTTCACTCTGCGACTCAAACCCGGTACCATTCGCTTCAAACGCCATCACGTTATCCACTCAGCTACTGAGTCCGGATAGCCGCTTGTTTGTGCAATGGGGTAAAGTTTAAATTCACTTGATATTGTTTGTTTGAATCTTCCCATAGATATTTAGGACTGCAATTGATCAGTCTTTCATATTGGCGTATGTGCATTTTGTGAGGATTTCTTCGATATTATCCTAAGTCACAAGGAGTATAAGCTTAGATGTATGATGACTAGTAGTGTAATCCAGGATGCGCGTTTCAATCTGAATTCCACTGCTAGCCACTATCTATCTTTATTTATAAAATACCCTAAATATAAATTCACTCACTTTTAATATATAATCTTCTTTAGAAGAAGCTGTCAATGAAGGACTAGCATTAATTTCTAATAACCATGGTTTTAAATTATTATCAATTAATATATCATATCCATATAATTCAAAACAACGTTTATCATTGATAATAATCTTTTGTACACTTAATAAACTACCAATAAATATCACATCGATTTGATGAAATAATTCAGCAATCTAGAAAAGCACAAACACACACACACACAGTTAATGAATTAAAAATATAAAATCATGTTAAAGTAGGGTGGTGGTTGGAGGTGGTCAACAGGAAACCCTGGGTTTCCTGTTGACCACCTCCAACCACCACCTTAACTCAATATATATAGTGCAAGCAGTGTCGAGCCACCTAGACTGGTGACCACATTGCAACTTGATCGATAGCATTCGATCAACACTAAGAAGGACTTGACATGCATGACATTGATCACCACTCAGTGATCAATCAATTGTGAAATAAAATCATGTTTATATCTTTTGAAATTGTAAGCAAAGATGAATATTGGCTAGCAGTGGAATCCAGTTTGACGTGCATTTCGTCCTAATTGGGACTCGTCAGCTGGATGGAAATGGAATCTTAGAGTTGATGTTCACTCTGGAATTCGGATACAGTACTTTGATTTGACCTATGAACTATTTTTTCATACAATTTACCATTCTTGAGTTATCCCCAGTCTATTAATTACTGCTTCCCCCTAATCACAGTCAAAATTTGGCTAAATCTTGTACAAATGTTATTTCATATTTTATTGGTACGATGTGGTAAGTTTGATTGGTATATAAACTCAGTATGTTTGAAATATAAGGATTCATACAACAGAGGCTCAGATTGGCGTTTCGGACATAACTGGCTGGGCTAGGCAGATAGCAGGACTGATAAGAACTCAAAAGACTGCTTATAAGGCTGTTTGTGTATCATTGCTGTAACCGATAATCCACTCCTCTCTTATTGGCGGGGATCATCACGACATATATTAAACAGGGCACATACGCACAAATCCACTCGATATAACAGTATTTTGCAGATCAGTTTATAAATCATTCAAAGTTCAAATTGGTATCAGCACATAAAATCTACTAAATTCCTAAAGAAAATTATCATCTAGCATTTAAATTTCACATGGTATTCATCACTGATGAACATCAATTGAGGTGATTCAGTCAGTCAGTCATTCAGCTACAACGTAGGACCAGGAACATATATGCATCGGTCCAAGTTGCCATACCTCGTTAGCACAACAAGATGAACACCGGATTCATAGAAGTAGTTAATTTAGTGGTAGTGTGGTGTGATCTACTTATATCCATATAAGTAGTATATGGTGTGGGTCAGACATAGAATGTATTTTGGCAGAAGACCGATGAGGAAAGAACTGAAATGAAGCGCAATCGTTTGGAAAATGCATGAGCAATGGAATAAGAGAAGAAACAGTGAAGATTGAAACAATTGGTTATTAATTTGCAAATTGACTGTTCATTGTTTGGTTATCGGAATTTACTGAGATAGTCTGTAACTTTTGCTTAAATACATTCGATTGTCCCCAACTAGTGTTTTGTTCACTACAGTAGTAGTATATAAAAGATACGTTGTATATAAGGACATAGTATAGGAAAGAAGAGGTGATTATGAAATCCGAAATAGTAATGAACAGCTATTTCATCCAACTGTGAAACTTCTCAGAAATTAACACTGAAACAATGAATCCTGACACAGTGGCTTAGATGTAGTTCACTGTTAATGAGTTCTGAAAGGTCTGTATTCGATCCCTGTTAAGTTCGTGTAAGGACACTTTCAAGTAGTTCCTTACTAAGATAGAACAACAGTCTAGTGTTCTATTATTGTAGTGATACATCATTTGGTGTCAGTCAGCAATGAATACCACTTAAAAGTCAAACGGCTCTTTACACATCCTTTAGCCAATCTGAATAAAATGTCTATTGATAATGTGGTCTGAATAAAACAACAAAAAGACCTAAACAATTCTGGAAACCCAAGTGAAAAAATGTTAAAATTAGTTGGATTAAGTAGCACATTTTAACCATTGAAATCCGAAAAACTAGAGCAAAAAATATTAATCAAGATTTAAAAACACCCATCTTTCGAGATTCGAATCTAGAATCTACCGGTCTTGGACGTGAACCCTTAACCTCTAAACCACTAACGGCGTTAATGTCTAACTTTGACCAATCCACGGATCGTGGATGGGCACTACGAAAGAGTCCCATACTACAACGAAACGGCCGTTCAATGCTTTCAGGTTTTATAAATCATAATACTATGACGTGGATTTAGTCTTTGAAGTTACTTTACATGACTATAAAACGCTCACTTTTTGATATCCATATTTAGCTAAGAGTTGTCGACGTAACCGACCAATAGACCATTTACAACCTTTTTCAGCATCATAATCAGGAGCAGTTTTTTGTACAGCAATATTTGTCAAATGTATATCTATAATAAAGTATATCATGTTAAGTTTATATAAAGGAAACGTGAATTCCTAACAATACAAGTGGTATTGTAGTATGGCCTACTTATATCCGTGTAAGTAGTATATGGCGATAGTCAGATATAGGATGAATTTCGGCAGAAGATCGATAAGGAAAGAACAGGAATGAAGCGCAATCGGTACGAGAATGCATGAACAGTGGAATTAGAGAAGATGAACTGATATTTACAGAAGAAACAGTGACGATTGAGACAATGGGTTGCTATATTGCAAATTTACTGTTTGCTGTATGATTATCAGAATTTAGTGAGATAGTCTGTAACAAGGCCATCAGACAATTCAAAAATAAGAAAGCAATAGAAGCAGACTGCATATCAGTTGAAGGACTGAATTCAAATATAGAGGTCGATAAAAAGATATTCATATTCTCTTCAGAAAGATTATGGAAGAAAAATGAGTACCAGTAGAAGTGAAATAGGGATACTTCATTAAGAAACTAAAAAAGATCTAAGCAAATGTGAGAACTAAGAAGGCACCATACTACTATCGGTGTCAGAAAACGTTTTCAACAGAGTGTTGCTGAACCAGATGAAAGATTCAGTAAACGTCCAACCTCGAGATCAACAGATTGGATTCCGTAAAGATTGGTCGTGCACAGACCAAATCGCGACATTATGGATCATTGTTGAATAGTCAACTGAATGGAATTTGTCATTATTCATCAACTTTCTTGACTTTGAGAAGGCATTCGACAGTGTGAAGTCGAGAATCGGAAGCAGACATCAAAAGAATTAATAGCAACTGGTAACAGCTGGAAAGAATTCCTCATAACAGAGTTGGATGGAGAATCCTGGTGAGCGGCCAATTCTCCTACACGAGGAGTAACAGGCATAATTAAGTAAGATAAGTAAATGAGTAAATACCAATTGGAGTTAAGCCCTTTGGCTTTGAACTTCCATAAATAACAGTTATTATTATCACTCAACATTTTTATATATGAAATAAGTGTTAATCTTGACCTATAAGAATGAATTGACCAATTACCCCCTTGTTAAACACTCACCACTCACACTCAGTCTGGACTTGAACGGTTCAATCATTTCTTTTGACTGCCATTCATGAAATTGTAACTGTTTTAGACAAATGATTAGCTCTTTCATTGTTTCGTTTTTGTCGTATCCATGCTAATATTTGGTAAATATTCACTTCACTATCCTTTTTCCTAATTAACCTTTATTTCATGTTTTGTACTAATTGTATGTGTTTACTTTATAGACTAAATATACATAATTTACCTGCTTTAACTGTATTGTTGCTAGAACTCTACATACAAAAACTTATGGAATTGTAAGCAAAGGTGGATAGTGGTTAGCAGTGGAATTCAGAACACGCAACACTTCGTCCTATTTGGGGCTCGTTAGCCGGATGTACCTGCATCTATGAGTTGATGTTCACTCTGGGACTCGAACCCAGCACATTCCGCCTCAAACTCCATCGTGTTATCCACTTGGCCACTGACTCATGATAGCCACTTGATTGTGCAATGGGGTGAATTTCAAATTCACTTAGTATTGTTTGCTTGAATCTTCTCATTGATGTTTAAGGACTGCAACTGGTCAGTCTCTAATTAGCATATGTGCATACTGTGCGTATTGCCTCGATATAGCCTTGATTCACAAGCATTCTAAGTAAAGATAGATAGTAGCTAGCAGTGGAATCCAGGACGTCCTACTTGGGACTCGTCAGCTGGATGTACCTACATCTCAGAGTTGATGTTCACTCTAGGACTCGAACCCAGTACCTTCCGCTTCAAACGCCATCGTGTTATAGGACGAAACGCGCGTCCTGGATTTCACTGCTAGCCACTATCCATCTTTGCTTACCAGGCTTGTGAATTTAGGCTATATAGAGGCAATGCGCACAGTATGCATATATATGCCAACTAGAGACTGATCAGTTGCAGTCCTAAAAAACCAATGGGAAGATTCAAACAAAACAATACTAAGTGAATTCAAACTTATGAAATTGTTTAGAAGATTCATAGGCAGAAAAATTAGCTTTCACAATACATTTCCTAATATGCTGTTAATAATGATAAGGGACGTTTGGTAAATATTTTATCGAAAACCAGTCTGAAGATGATTGCGACTTCAGTTTCTAATCTATCAAATACAGCTTTTCTTGAACAAGCTGTTATGTAGTAGCGAAGACATAAGTACGGGTAACTTGCAGGACCTACTATTGGACTATCATTCTTATTGTATAACTATTCGGTAACTAGATTATCTAAGCTTTATTTTGACCTATTGATTATTACTATATGATTTACTGTCCCTATGCTATGCTCAGTTTTATTGATTATTGTCTCCTATGCTTACAGCCTCATTTGGCTTGGTTTTGTACAAATATTATTTTCTATTTTATGGTATGATGTGGCCTGTCTGTCTGATATATAAACAAAGTATGCTTGAAATAAACGATTCGTATTGCCGAGGCTGCTATTGGTGTTTTTGGACTCAAGTGGACGGGTTAGGCGGATAAGGGCCAATAAGGAGGCTAGATTATTCATATTAATCGAACGTCATTGTCACAGTGTGAAGGTCGTAGAAGGCGTATTCTATTGGTGGACAATTTACGCGAATTACGTCCTTGTTAAATTCGTAAGGTCATAACGAATCAGCGACGACCTTGATCAAGTCATAACAATTGGCTACCGCCTAGGTCAAAAACATAACACAAGCCAACACATGTAAACATTTTATCTGTCCCAAAACTGTCTATATATGACAAGGGCGGTTCGGAGCCCCCAAATGCCTTGGTACAGCCAAGAGTGGGGAGAGTTCGCTCTCCCTCTCCAAATGCTCTCACATGGCCATGCGTATATAACACCTGCCAGGAAAGTCCTACTCACTGCCTTCTCGCACAACCGGTGTAGTTTACGAAATTGAGAGGACGAAAGCAAATGTCCGGCGATTTAACTGGGTTGGTGGACACAGAAAGTCCATCTAGGGGCTCCAGGATTCTGAGAGAAAAATGGGCTATGAATCAATCGTTGTTCACCGGCAACCATAGGACTGCATCTCCTCACGATGCTGCACTTCCTTATGGATCAGGTCTCTAGGTCAAAGGCTCGGAATTTGGCCACCTAAATAAACCAACTGCTTCAGTTTGGGCACCTGGGCAGTATTACAGCCCTCACACAAATCAAATGAGATTTGTGTGGCGCATGTGTATCTGCTGCCCTTTTGTACCAATATTTATGTGTTTAAATAAATAAATAAAGAGCAGTTCGGAGTAAATACTACAATAGTTACAAAACGCAAAATCAAATCAAAAGGATACATTGGTCATCAATAGAATCTAGCGAAAATCTCGTGTTAGAAAAGCGGGCAAATCCATCTCTGTAAACCCAAACTTTTAGTGGATTGAACTACAAAAAAAATTCAATTAGGTAATTAGTCATGAAAATATTTGATAAATAACTTACAGATGTAACAAGAACATATACACGTAAATCAAATTTACGACCACACAATAAATATGGATTAGTCACATATCGTGAGACAACGTATGTTTCAGGCAGTTCTCGGTTCGGAGCATCCCCAACAGTTTGTTGTTCACATTTCTGTTGAAAAATAATGTAGATATTATCTGAAAAAAAGAAGTTTGATTTACCATTCCAGTACGCTTCCATGCTTCAATATCCTTTAATTTACGAAAAAGAAATATTCCTTTGCCTTGTGATTTAGCAACAGGTTTCATTATCCATATAGAACCAGGACATCTACGAAATTCTTCAATAAACATATGGTATTCCATCTTAAGTAATGGTTGAATAAGTAATTGTAACACAGTCTCACTGGAAGTTCAAAAGTTGTTGGAAAAAAGTCCAATCTGTAAAAAAAACTAGTTCATCTATAATAAACGAGCATTTACATTTGCCCTTCTTGTTTACTGTATTCTTTCTCCCATTTACGCTTTAGACGTTTCAAATTTTTGACCATCAAATTTTTACGTGTAAGCTGTAATATAAAAATGAAACGAAATTTTGTAGTATTCAAATGGTATCAAAGATAAAACGCTGGAAATAAACTTCGTACTCATCACTATGAGAAATAGATAGGTTCATCAGCCCCGACACGTTCTGCGTAGTTCCCCTTGCGAAGAAGACCATGGACACGACCAACTGGGAACTGCAAACCAGCACAAGCTGATCGCGTTTTAGCCTTACCGCGAGACTTCTCACCTTTGCCACGTCCACTTATTGTCCGTAAGAGCCGAGAAACGTGCTTCAGTTTGGACACCTGGGCAGTATCACAGTCCTCACACAAATCAAATGAGATTTGTGTGGCGCATATATATCTGGTGCCCCTTTGTACCAATATTTATGTGTTTAAATAAATAAATGAATAAACTATGAGGAGTTCTCGAGATTCAGTAACCATATCACAAATAATTAGGTCATTCTCAGTCTACTGATTATTTTATAATTCTTTTTGTGACTAATTTGGAACTCAGTAGTTAATTGGTCAACGCGTTGGCGTTTGAACAGGAAGGTACTGGGTTCTCGTTTCGGAGTGAACATCAAATTTAAGATGAAGGTATATTCATCTGATGAGTCCAAACAAGGACAAAACTTACGTCCTGATTTAGCTGCTAGCCACTGTACAACTCTGATTGGAAATGTCTATGATTTATAGTTACATTGAGGCAATCCATTCAAGATGCAAACATGCTGGAGAGATCGACCAATCACAATCTTTTACATCAACAACCGGAAGATTCAAACACTTGCAAGGGAATTATAGTTTGAGGATAGACAACAGGTATGAGTACAATCACATGATGAATAAATTTTTGAATTATAGTAAGGGATCAATGGAAACACAATGATTTTACGTGACCGATTTTATGTGTTTATGGAAATATAGTTTATGAGTATACATGATTGACAAAGACTATTCACATACCGTAATAATTCTATCAACTAAATTCTATGAACTGTTGTCTACTTAATCGTTCAGATTACTACTGATCTAATTGAAATGCAGGCAACATTAGTGCTCATGCATCGAATATATTAATGAATTCGCAACTGTTGGCTTCTGGAACTTTGATTCCATTGATACGATCAATATAGTGAATTTTATGTCTGAGCAACTGATCGATATTATTTGTTAAGTTGGACAATCAGAACTACGACTTTACTTTATGTACCCCATGTCTCGTATTCCGTTTTTAATCTGATGTCCTTAGCTTTGACCAACAATACTTTCTAACCGACTTAATTAACCTTCATCTAACGCAAACTTAACATCCCCAGACTTGAATCCTAAGAGAAAACTGGAGTTAAGCTTCTACATTATATTTCAAACAGCCAGTAGAAAAGCCACGCAACTAATATCTTAAGCACATATAAGCCTATATACGTAAGAGATTGGACTACGCTGCACCACAACATAGAAAGTCTTAGCTATCCACAAACAGGTCAAAATTGGATATGAACTGGAAAAACTATAAATAACTCATCAGGAATAATTTAAGAGCAAAATGTATAATAATGAATAACAAGTCAAATGAAAGCTTATAATAATGAAATATAGAAACAAAGCGGTACAATTACTTAATAATTATACGATAAAAGTACAAACAACAATAGTACGAAAAGTAGTTTCAAAGTTCTAAATTCTTCAATACTCGTTCTATAAATCATCTGGAATAAACAAACACTGTTAAGCTAATATGATTACTATGTTTAATCTCATGTATGAAATCGCCGACCCTTTATTGAAATATTACTACACGTACCCAGAGGCAAATTACATATATTTTACTACAACATACCTCAAAGTGATTCCGAAAGTGACAAATCTTTATTATATTACCCATTAATCCATGATCGAATAATTCCTTCATCGTCATGGGATCACACCAAAAGAAATCGCATTCTTCTTCTCTGTAAAAATGAACATAACAGCTATTCAGAGAAAAGATTTCCATTTGATATACATAAAAACACTGAATTATATTCCTTCGACAATATTTTCTGAATAGAATCAAAGCTTCATTCTATCATAACTGGAAAAAGGTGAAGCCACTGGACCAATATTAGTCTAATATATGTTTTTTCATTAACACCTGCTTATTTATTTGTAGCTCATTCACATTATATAGCTCACATGTAAAGTGTAACCAGCTAAACAATATGAGAGGTATTAACTAAATCTGGCAATTAGGCTTTAGTTTACTAATTTATGAATGAGCAATGAGAATCAAATAGAACAGTCAGTTACGATTTAATAGATTCATTTGTACTTGTTTTGTGTTAAATGTTTTGCGAAGAAGTGTACAAATTTATCTCGTCAAATCATTCATTCTCGCTGCTGAGTCATCCTGCCTTCTGATATTCATTCAATATGTAAATCCAAACAACAAGTTTAGATTTGTGTTCAGTGGTCATAGAAACATATTGATCCAGGTGATCGGTTACACAACTCTTTTAATATTCTCATTTGTATAATACCAGAGATTTCATTATTGATTACAGTTAGATAGTCGTTTATCAGCAAAACAAATACAAGTTACAAGGTGATCTAATACTGACTTATCATAGACTGAAGGGTGATTTTGGTATTGTGATGTCTTATTTTTCTCCTTGCGTCAAGGACTGATCATCTTAGAAGGCACTCTCAGATAGTGCCAAAATTGAGAGCGAATAGTCTACATCTAGAGTCTCGTTTTTCTCATCAAATAGTGGATTACTGAAATTGTTTTATAGGAAACTTAATACCACAATCTTTTTTCAGTGTATTTAAAACAAGGGTAAATCTTCACAGTTCTGTAGATACCAAAGATTAATATTAGTTCGCTCAGAGACTGCTTACCGCCGAAAACCGAAATTTATAGAGCACGTACTATATTAACGAAACTAATTAGTGGCGTCGAGAAGAATGGTAGTTGTTCATGAGGACATTGTATATATAGAACATACGTTGAGTAGTTCCGTGGATGTTCAGTATTTTAAGTCAACATCGTATGCTGAAATTGACTAAACCACCAGATAGTATGTATTCGAATACTTTTTTTATTTTACAGCGTTAGCCAAAGACAAAAAATGATTTATAAAAGTCAAACTCCTATACTCAATAGTTTACATGAGTATAGTAATTATTCTTATATATAGTTAGCAATTATTGGGTTACCTGAGAACCTCAATCCACCCTCGGTTTCTCAGGACATCAAGAATCGTATTGTTCATTGTGCACTTAAACCGAATAGGACTAAAAAAGAATTATTATACTGAAAAACTTACGGAACACTCATTTTTATAAGTGAAGACTTTCGAAATTATATGTTAACGTTTCGATTGTTGTTATGCTACTAACAGGCTTCAGATCTTTTATAGGCTCATGTCTGTCCTGAAAGTATTTTGTTAGTCAAAGACTGTAACATAAACTAAGCGAACTGGGGGATCTAGAATAGAGAAAAATAATAGGAAACATGAGTTGGTAACGGAGTGATCACTTATAATACCTCTGAATATCCTTCGACTTCCAAATATCTGTCTATAGAGGCGGTCAAGGAACACTTTACCAGGAAAAAATCTGATAACCGAGATGACATATTAGATATCGACCTCTAACTTAATCGAATATTTGAACTGGTAGTTGTAATTACTAATAAAGATGATTACAAACTTCGAATGATGACAGTCAGTGGTATTGATCTACAAAGTTAATAAACTTCAAGTCGTAAGTTATTTCCAGATGACAGTTGAAAAATCCAAATTATTTCAATGAGCTGAGCGTTCTTTCCTACCAACACACAAGATTTTGGAGTAATTAAACAAAATCTAAACAAACCAGGTGCCTAGCATATCTGATATCTTTGTCGCGAGTTTGTATGATTTATTTGATTTCTTTGCGTTGGCTTCCTGCTGTACGGTACGGTTTCCCATATTTGGTAATGTCCAGTGAGTGGTTGTCTAACCACTCGACTGCACTAAATCTAGTTATTTTTGTGGTTATTTGTAGGTTCACATATCTCGTTGCTTTGGTGAATGTGTTATTCTGAGAACAGTAGGGCTTTCATACACCAGTAGTTATCACATTAGCAGGCGGGAGTTTGTTTGATTGCAATGTGAAAACAATCAAGTGGTAATTCGAATGCCAAGAGAATACGATCATTTGAAGAATAACAAACAGTTTGAATAATTGGTGGTATGAAAGAATACGGAACTAATGGAATTAGATTGGAAATGGTGGTTATGATTAGAGGCAAAGGAAATAGTTACTGATATGCATTAATGAAAACCGTCGTAATTTATGAGATAAGCATCAAATGATAATCCACTGGTAGGTGGTTGCTTGTCCGGTCTCTTTTTAAAGCTATCCACTGATGGGGCTCTGGCAACTTCTACTGAGAGATCATTCAAGATGTAGTCAACTCTTAATGAGAAAAGTGAAAGCGTACTAGGGTGTTCGCATCTGTTGTGCACTCTTTCGAGAGTTGCCTCGAGAAGCGTTGTGATGATGTCCTGGTGAAATCCCCTTGTCACGGTGGCTCGGTGAACTTAATTTGTTGTATGCCATTATCAAATAATATTTTATTGTCCTGTAACTCAATGAGAATAATCTCAGATGCTGGGATCTGTCCTTGTCATACTTATCTTTTAGCATTTTCACCTACTTAGTTGACCACCTGTGTATTTACCCGAGATATTTGTGCTTCCTTTAAAGTGGTCAAGCCCAACGAAGTTGTGGACTCCAAAGTGTGGTCGTAAGTGAGTTTCAAACGGTTGTAGGAAAATCTGTGAAGTAGTCACACCAAACTGTCTTTTCATACTGCGAGAAGTTGCGTTTGCCTTGGTTGTATCCTCCCCGTAGTTTGAACTGGTGTCCAAACTCTCTGAAGTTACAAGCCCAAGATCTTGCTCTGAGGTAGAATGTTCATATCATTTTGACAAGTTGAGATTCAATCCATTGTCTACAATCAATTCATAGATTGTCTTAAGGTCTTTTTAACCTCATGTGAATTTTTTTCGCGTTTTGTCAACTTCCAGGTCTTTGCATCACCTGAATGAATCAGTGCTAATATTGTCTAAAAGATCGGCAGTAAAAACCCAAAACAGAAGTGGACCCAAGATTGTTCCTAATGAAATTCTTGATTTTGAAACCTTCCAACTCTTGTTCACTCTATTCACTTTTTCACGGACCATCCTATCCTCTAAGTGGTTTCGGGGTCCAGATAAATGTGAATCTATAAAACCCAACGTTGTAACATTTGCTATGAGAAGTACATTAGGTTTTGTGTCAAAGGATATTGAGAAGTCAAGGAATATTATATGAAGCGGTATCTCATGATTCTAGAAAGTTGTTCAGCTTTCTTATGCTGATAGGATATTGGATGCACATGACATGTCTTTCTTCAACCTTTGATGGGCTCCATAGATGACGTTGTTTTATACGTTTGCTCACACACTTGTTTACCCACCGTTCTTTCCATTACCTTGAAGAGGATTTAGAGTAATGAGACTGGCGTTTGATAAGCAGAATCTTTTAAATCTCCTCCTTAAAAGATTTGAAAGACAATGGACTGCTTCCGTCCTTGTGGGAGATGGTGTGAATCTGTTGAGTACCTGAACAGATTACGCTGATGTGGTGATGGCTTCAGATCACTCTTTCAGGATTATAGGTTGGATGTTGTCACATCCTGGTGACTTTTCTTGGCACACGGATTTTAGTCTTTTCAATACTAACCTGAGAGTTAGTTGGATATGGCTGGATCATCCAATGGCACTAGAGCTGAGAAATGCTCGACACTTGGAGGCTCCTGGGTTAGCTTTTAGTGTCTAGTCCTATACCAAGCAAAAATGGACTATTCTAGCTTTCATACAGATCGATTTATTCATTATTTTTAAGTCACATTTTGACCTTGTTGATTGTTTGCTCAATAACCTTGACTAATTTATATGAGTACATGTGTGCTCATTACTTATCGTGCTCATCACATGTCTGTAGGTTATAACCGTATGAATATAAATATTGGACCACGCTCAATTGAATCAAGTTGGCTCTCTCTTTATCCACGTCGGCTCATATTCTATTGTTTTCAGCAACTCTCCACACTTCATTTCTTTTCCCTTTGCTTTCTTCACACCGTTCCTGCAATTGTCTGACAGGATCGGTGAAAGTAAAAGAGTTACGCATCCAAAATTTGTCCTCTATTTGACTTATTTTATTCCCTTATTTTCTGACGTGATTTGTACCGATAATTATGTACGATGGTAGCTGAGCTGTATATTTAGGTAATTACATCTTTCGATCTAATTGGAGTTATGATCAGCAGGCCACAATGGTGGTTAGGTGGACTTCGAACCTAAAAAAACCTGCAGGACCACGTAGACCACGAACATTTTGTACTCTATGCATCCGTTGGACAAACTAAGTAGCTGACTTAGTCGACGAGTAACCCAAACAAATCAATCTCTAATCCGACGCATTCAGAAGAGCCAGTACATCAGGGATATGGACATTCTCATATCAGGCTATCTAGCCGAAACTTTATCCTCATGTCAACATTTCTCACTCATTTGTCTATCTGACCAGTCCATTGTGATTATAATATTCATCATATTCTCATTATCACATTAGTGTCACCTAACGTATTGACAGTAAATCCCGACATTTACGCAAACTTATCACTCGCTCATCAAAATATAATATTAATGATAAAAATACTTTTTCAAATAACAATATGTTGCATGAGGTATGTCAATTCATAGGTGTTACAAATGTTTCAGGATTTGCTCCAAAAAGTTACTCAGTTAGGTTGACATGTTATAAGGCACATTGGTCAGAGAGAGAAGAATACATTTTCGTACATTAAAATATTATAGTAGGTAAGACTAATGTTCAATATGAAAAATGGCGAGTCATACAGAGAATGACTGGCGATTGGCTGTTGAGTATTATCCGTAGCTATTTATGACAAGACATAATAAGTTAAATTCATAAAAAAGTCAGTCAAAAATGTAGGATTTAACGTATTATTTTTTGCCTAATGATAGTGTTCCCAGATAAATAACGGAAGTATTATTAACAGCATAGGACATAGTCGTATGTTCCATATATGTTTTTGATGGTATAACACGAGGGTGCTTAAAAAGAGAGGGGAAAGTGTAGAGAAAAATGCAGGACAGACAATGTTCAGGGCCGGCGAATTTCAGTCATTCGTAACGGGATGATCAATACATGACTACTTAAACTCACTACCATATATTAGGTTAAAGTCAAATTGTAGAGTTGAATGAATAAAAGATTGTACAAACCAAAACGATTTAAAATAGCTGAAGGTTTAGAACTATGTGCTCTTTTAAAATTTAGTAAGGAAAACACGTTGTTTCGGTACATATATGTATCCCTTTTTATTGTTTTTATTGTTATTGCCTTTTGTACAATCATGAGTGGAATCCTACTTAGCGTAATTGTCCAGATTGTTTACAATCGGATTTCCCAGTGAGAAGTGGAAACAATTAAAGGTTGCAAATATGAGTCAAAGTGGTATTCGGTACGGGAAATAAACATGAATGCTAGTGGTTTGTTCAATCAACCATATGTAGCCATAATTTAAATAAATTTTCCTCGCTACGGACATGGATAGTTTAATGTTATCTCATCATAATATTTGGTGGTCGGGGACGCCACCCTCCCTTCTTTTGTGATATTAGGCTCTCTAATGTTTGTGGTATGCACATATGTTGCAGTAATCTAAGATATATGTTGCACATTTCATTGCGACACACTGTCTCCAATAACTCTATATTACGAGCAAATCTGGCAACAGAAGCTTTTGTATTGTGGGTCAGATATTAAATTGCTATATCACACTGCTACTTGCCTTCATTCGCTAACTGGTATTCATTTCTATTCATTTGCATTCGCACTCCTGCTAGTATTCGTTTCTTGCTCTTTCGTCTTTGTGATATGCACTATACAGTACTAAAACCTAGTCATCGTTTCATATTGGCTCCTTTGAGTTATATAAATATGATTATCAGAACTAGTGAGATATATAGCTTTACGATTTATCTCGAACGTATTCCGACACCTATAAGTCGTTGGAACGATTAAGCGGCATATTTGGACAAATATTTTTGCAGATTATTTAGACTTGAAAAATATGAGCAAACCAATCAGATTTCGAAGGTGGAATTCCTTCACTTAGTGGTTGCCAAAATAGTGGATTAAAAATCAGGTCAGTAATTTGTTGTGTGAGCTTTGTAAGTCGTATCTTTCAGTTCATCCGTTTCTGCTTAAACCACC